TTCACTCCAGAAAATTTAGAGAGTAAAATAAATATAATAATGTGCAATTTTATTTGAGATTTTTTATCGTTACTCACTTCCTTATTGTCCACATTTTCATCTTCTTTTTCGGGTGTTTGATGGCACAATAGATCAAACATGATCAAACTGCCCAATGAATGACCTCCTAAGAATATTTCTCCGTCAAAAGTAGGATTTCTCTCTTTGAATAATGCGTGCAATCTGTTCATCTCACTTCCGACCGTTTGCATAATAGTCTGACAGTATATCGGACTAGTATAGAAAAGTATGTCGAGCAAAGTATCGTTAGTAAAATGTCGCAATTTCGGAATACTCTCCAACGTGATAGCCTGCAGTCGCTTATCAATTCCCGTATCGGAATGCAGTGTTGTATGCCAGGAGATCGGTAAAACTTCTATTCTATTTACAAACCCCTGCTCGCTCGCTGTACGATAATGTGATTGCACCAATTGAAACGATATACTTCGGAATTCATCAACTGTAAGAAATTAACATATGTATTAATATCATAATATTTGAGTTTTATGAATAACTCAATTTATTCACAATTAAAATATTATATTTTTCGCAACTTACCAACTTCTTCTACAGTGCGAAACTTCAGATCGCAAACACTACCGATACCGTGTACAAGAAATAGAAGATGATCCACTTTCTCGGGTTCACCCTCATCTATATTGAATTCATCGACTCCTCTTTTAACAGTTTTTGGTTTACTTGCAGAACCCTGTAAATATGTACTGTCCTCTGAAGCCTGTAGAAATTAGGATCCACCATATCAAACAGAACCATGCGTGTAATATTAAAAAACCGCGCGACTACACATCTTAAAAATAATAAAGGTGATTTATAAAAGAAAATAAGATATTTTAAAGTAACAGCAATTTGATGCTTTGCAAAATAAATGAAATAAATATGCTAATAAAATGTTCGTCATATTGTGCATTGTTTTGTGCTGCAGTGCGCTGCTATTTTTAATTGCAACATATAAATCAATAGTTATACAAATGAACATAATTTTAAAACTAATAACGTAGTTCGTAAATTAAATTAGAAGCTTAGTTATAAACTGTAAAGCAAAGCATTATTTTTAATAAGATTGCATTGTAAAGAGCAAATTTATAGTAGTAAAATATTAATTTTATTTTAAAAATTTTAATAAAATAAATTTGTTTGTTTAGAACAACAATTGTACAATATTTAAATAACTTTAAAATATTTAAAAAATTATGAAGAAACATTATCATGTATAACATTTTCGCAATTAAATATTAAACTTTAACACAATAAATTGAAAAGAAGCCTTAAATTATACTTTAATTTTTTTGTTATTTCTTAAATAAAGCTTTAATAATTAAATTTTCATTAAATATTTTATACAAAATGAGTACACTCCTTCATTAAGAAATTTTATTCAACATTTAATTTGTTAAATGTAATTGATCTACTTACAGTATTACTTCCCCAAGATGCCGCATCAGGAGAAGTCGGTTGTAGGTAATGAGCCTGCACTGTCGCGCTATGGAAGACAATGTATTCTCCATTATTTAATTCCACTTTTCGGTTCCAGGTGTTCGAGAGACATGCCAGTTTGTATTCGTCTTCAAGTTTCGCAGCAGTGCTCTCGCTGTAAGGAACGTATCTCGCTTCAGCTGCTCCCTTGAAAAACCAAGAACATCGCCTAACTTCGGTAGACGCTCCGGTCCAATAGACGGGTGCTCTTTGACGACGTAAAATGTCAACATCGTAACGACCGCCATCGGTAGCCACTGTGGTTTCAGGTGTAATATCGCTCGAATTGTGAGCTTCTTCCAGCTTTAAGCTGTCCTGCATGGAGAACGGCAGCCATAATGTTTTGCTCTCCACTTCCTTGCGGTAAAACCAGTGGTGATATACCGATCTGTATTGCATTCGTTTATCGGAAGATCCAGAAGCCTAGAAAATATTAATATTTCCTGTATAATAAATCGGAATTAATTACTTTGTATTTATATAAATATAAATTTAAATGTGTGTAAAAATATATTTAAAAAATTCATCCATTATTAATGTTTGATATATCTAATTATAAATTTTCGGAGGACACTTTTACTTAATTTTATAAATAAAGTAAAACCTTGGAATGAAAATGATTATCCTTACCCAATTTTGAAAACTCGGTGGAACGGTATCTGGTGTGGTGCGATTAGTTGGCGCATTAACTGACATTTGAACTGGACTGAGAGTGGCTGAACCCGTCGGTTCAGGTACCGACGTTGCTATCGTTACAGCGGGCGAAGGATACGCGTTATTTTCAGGAATAGCGTAGGGCTGCTGCAGCCCAGTGCTACTTCCGTAAAACGGTGGATTTTGAGATGACTGCTGCTGTTGAGAACGTTGGTCGTACGTATGTGGAAAAGTCGATTGCTTGGGTGGTTCATTCGCAAATTGCGCAGGATTATAAAATACCGGCGCCGATTGTTGGATGGGAGTCGCGTATACCGGTTGGCTAGGTGCGGTATATGCCGGCTGGCCGGATGCAGCGTTCAGTATCTGCGATTGAGAAGACTGATCGGCATTCCAAAACGGTGCGTGAGCCGTGGAATCGATCGCTTTAGAACTAAATGCGGAATTTTCGTGAGGCAGATTATTTGTTGTGTTAACTGATTGTTCGAACGGAGAATTTTGGACTGGTTGTCCGAACGGAGAATTTTGGACTGGTTGTCCGAACGGGGAATTTTGGACTGGTTGTCCGAACGGGGAATTTTGGACTGGTTGTCCGAACGGAGAGTTTGTATTTCTTTCCTGCGACGAGAAACTCGGGAACCGATTCGACGGCGCTGATTCAAAGAACACACTTGTTGATTGTTCCGTTGGTTTCGGTAGGTTGTAGAAATCAGCGGAAGAAGAAATTTGCTGCGGAAGTTGGACAGACGGTACGTAGTTTAAGCTCGACTTTTGTTCTGCGGGCTTGTCTGTATAAAAGGTGGAGCTTGGCATAGATATTGATTGCACTTGGTAATGCTGTTGAGACGGATGTGTGTTCGACTTAGTTTGAAGATCCGTTACAATCGGACTGTTATCAGTAATGTGTACTTCCGGGCGGATCTCTGATTGCGCCGCTGGTTCTTGCCCAAGAAACACGTCACTCCATGTGTCACTTCCAGGTTGAGCCGCTTTCCCTTGTACGTCATTCGATTTTGCCTCGTGTGATTTGTCGATTATCTCATTTGCAGCCTTCGCGTCGCTTTGCGATTCGTAAGATTTCGTTAATTCGGTAGCGACGCTGGATGTAATTTCGTCAACTTCCGCGTGAGCTTCAAGGGTTGCTACGGAAGGAGAATTCTCCTGCTGTTCCGCAAGTAAATGTTCTATTAACTTCTCTGTTACCTTGGCTGCCGATATTGGCGTAAATGTCGTCTCGATTTCCCCCGAAATCGACGTCGGTTTATACGCAGATTCTGTGGTAGCTGTGGTCTCGAGAGCACCGCCTTTCGAAAATTCTGGCGATAAATTTAGCTGATTAGGATTCTTGGGTACAGTTTCTTTGTCGAAATTAGATGTCGGTGGTAAATCTCGATTCACGTAAGTGAAACCGGGAAATGAGACGTTCGCCGGAGTATTCTGTGGCGTTGCAGGCTCCAATACCCGTGCAGGTATCGGTCTAGACGACGACAAAGGAAATTGCGCGGATGCGGAAGAACTTTCTAAAAATAGATTCTGATTTGCGGACGTTACAGACGAATTATATGGCGTTCCAGTTGTGACTGGGCTGGATCGAAATGAACTATGGAGAGAGCTATTTCGCGATAGCTGCTCAGACGTTGGAAGTTGTTCGGGCAAGGTCTGCTGTACGCTGGAATTGTTTCCCTGTGCCAATCCCTCCGATTCATATGGATTCAAAATAGTTGACGGTGCAGAGACATTTTGAGTCGGCAAGAACTGCAATGCTGGATTTGTATATGGCTGTGCGTTGTTAGACGTTAGATCCGGCGGTGGTGCATACTTTAAGCGTCGTTGATTACCAAGTCGATAAGAAACGGGCGCTTTAACAAAAAAAAGTAATTTTCCTGATTAGATTACATACTTAAAACATACATCATATTATATAGATATATGCATAACATCATCACATACATGGTAAGAGAACACATCAAATAAAAATTGATTAAATATACATATACATATAATTAATATTAAATTAAATATATATATGTAAGCAACATGTAAACAAAAATTAATTAAGATTAAAATTAACCTTCGAGATTATTAATTAAAGTTTTTTGAAATTGCGTTATGTTATAATTTCCATATATAAAATTATACTTATTGTGTGTCAAACATATGGAGTAAAGATTTCGAACTTTGTCATAAAAAAATTATATTAATATTTATTGAAATTGCTACTTTATTGTGCTTATGAATTTTTAATTATAATTTTAAACATTTACCATAACCAGGCTGAGATACACTGGGTGGGGCTGCGGGTGGAGGAGGGTTGTTGGGTACAGTGCCAGTGGGACCAAAAGCAGCAAATCCTGACAAGTTTGTACTTCGAGAATCCTGAGGATTAATTGCTAAGAATCCTGGTATTTCCGACTGAGAACCATGGTATCCTTGCGGCGTTATGTAAGGATTAGATTCGTGCGTCGTTCCACCGGTGTTCTCGGATGCCTGACTTATTTGCGGTCCCGAGGAATCGGATTTAATCGATGACAGAGACAGATTCGGCAGCGACGAGAGAATCGATGTGAGATATCCTGATTTTGCTGGCTGATTCGTCGTGTCCTTACTTTCTTTTGGCTGTGAAGATGCATTCGTGGAAAAATTGTCGTTTGTCCTTGATGGGGATTGAGATTGGATATTGACTGGCTCTTGTCCTATGAAACTGTCGAGCTCAGTATCTGCAAAAAAGATGACTGTTTATTTACTTAATCTAAAAACATCAGATAATATTTTACAATATCATATTAGTAATTTTTTCTTGTATTTCTTTGTTTAAAAATGTTGTTTATAGTAGAGGCAATTTATATAATTTTCTAATAAATTTGTTTGGTCTGCTTGAAGTATGTAAAAGTATATAAATTTATGGTTTTGCTATCGTTAAACATTTTGCAATAATATTTATGTAAAAATAAAGAAACTATTTAAGAAAGCAATTACAACAAAAATAAATGCGTATTATTTAATATTAACTTTTGATAAATTAAATATTTTTCTTTAGAAATTTAGGCAAAATTTTCAGAAGTTAGTACATTTACATTTAATAACTCTTAGTACATTCATTTAATAACTTTTAAGTAATCAGATATAACAATGTGTTCATAAAAAATCCCCCTTGACTGAATTCTTCAACAGATTATTCAGAACTGTCAATATTGAACAGGATGCAATGAACGTAAGAACCAATGACGAAGAGCGAGTGTGGACTATTCTTACTCTTTTACGTAGTTGATACGAGCAACCTCGCGGACTTTGAATTACGAACGTTTTTGTGATGACACATGTTTTATTTATGGATCGCCAATATATACATTTAAGAGTTTTACGATAATTAATAATTAACGTTTGTTGCAAAAAAAAGAGAAATTCATGTTAGTAGTACACTAACATTTCATATATATTTGCATTCAATACTAATCGCTGCGTCCACTGATAATAGGTCTTTTTTTGCAATTGTACGATAGAAAACTTTAAACTTTCTTTATTGTGAATATACAATTAATTACAATAGATTGAATCATTTATCCTCGATAAATTCCAATAAAATGATAAAGAACAATAAATTACTATAAGAATTCTATCATATTTAATCCGCTTTCAACAGAGAATAAAAGCGATAACCCTATCATTACATTTCTTTCGGGACATAAAAATGCAATGATAGATTACGATAAGAGACAATTAAAATTGGTTAAAATTTTTTGCAAACAGTATCGATAATTCCTTCGTTTCCTTTTCATTTTCTTTTAAATAGAGGTATTTATTAAGTTCACCTTTACCATCGTGTATCAAAGTTTTCTCATAACGAGACACCTACAATTGTGCAACGACGCCCGTTAACGCCCAGATTTATTTACCTTTGCGTTCGTGTTATCGTCAATGTAACTGAAGACACGTTACCCCCTTTGCAAACTTACGCGAACGAAACTTTATAAGTACGCCGCGCATTTTTGTGTCGAGTCTTTCGTACGAGGTTTTCCTTGCGGCCACGGTATGGAATTACGCGTGTACCGGCTTTTTGTGACGTGCTATCTGACTTGCATTCTATGCAGAAATGTAGTTAGTGGATCAACGCTTGCTGAAGTTTTCCCATCGATTAATAATGCTTCTCAACCGGATACGAAATTGTCTGAGACAGGCAATACGCGAGCCGAGCAATCAATCGAGACGGAAACGAAACCAGATGGGATTACTTTGAAGGATGATTGGCCTAAGTCTGAAACTTCACGAGAATCTCTAGTGCAGAATCTGTCGGTGAAGACAAAAGTCTCGAACCATTTTGAAAAATGTTCTAGGTTTGTCATCAATTTGTGCAGTGATATAGATTTATGTAAAAATAATAATAAAAATATCGTAAATTTTTATCATATTTCAATCGCGGATATATTTGTAACATATAAACGTAAATAAAAAATTCTATTGAAAAAATTGTATTAAAAAAATTATATTGAAACTAATATTTCTTAAATGAAAAACGTAAAATATTTTTGTTAAAAGGTACTGTATACAACAATTGGGAATTGTGTGTGTTGGCAAAGGTTTTGAAGATATTAATCTTGATCTGTCATTTACCGGTCAAAACGGAGATGGTAATTTTAATATATAACATGAATAATATAGTACTTAACGTAAATAAAAATTTCTTTAAGTTATCATTGTTATTGACTTTATTTATCATGTTCGATTAAATATTGACGTAAGTAAGTTGTACAAATTACGCTGAAATTGCCAATTATTAATTTCTAACTGCACATCCTGATAGTTGATGACGTATAATTAAAAATTATTTGAAATTTTTAAGATAAAATTATAAATAACGTGACATAGATTGATAACAGCAGTAACCTTATTATAAAGCATATGCGGAATGTTCTGCATATCGATTTAAGAAGACAATTTATAAGCCAAGAGATATGATCAATATATCGATGTACACATCTTAATATGTACACATATTATGTAAGATATGCACATTTATTCTATAAAATACAAATATGTGATTTTTTTAATAAAAAAAAGTTTAAAGAAGACAAACAAGTCTAGTGGCAATATTAAATCGAACATTAATTAATACATGTATTAACTACATATTACTACATAAGTATTACTACATAAAACTTATAAAAACAGTTTTTATACATACATTATGAAAACGATAAGCAAGCTACATAACTGATTTTTTTTAAATTTCAGATCATTTTTTATTAGAAAATAATCCAAATCTGAAAATATTAAGACATTTTACCCATAATGAAAATTCAGCAATCTTAGACTATTGCAAAGTAAGTTATTTTAAGAAAATAGTGACTTTCGATAAATATTATTACATATTTAATGTGTAGATCTATCTTAATATTATTACATATTTAATATTCATAGATCTATCTTAGTCTGGATTGTGATATCATAAACATGGGAAGAAATTTAATTCTCAAAAACGATGAATTTTATTCGAATTTAAAATTTAATCAACAAAACGTCGAGATATTAAAAAATTATTTTTCAAATAACCCAGAATTCTCGGTAAGATAGAAATTAATATCGCCATATTTAAAAAAAAGAAATAAAAAAGAAAAATAATTAATAAACATATATGTTAGAAGCAATTAGTGCATAAAACTAATTTAAGCGGATATACTGAAGCCAATTTCCAAACTGATACCAATGTAACTGGAATTGCAATTAATATTTTGGGAAATCTTACGCGTGCAGTTCTGACAATACCTACGAGTGAGTAATTCTTCTTACTTTGCTTTAATAACAAGAATTCTTTTTTATTTAGAGAATAGTCATTCCAGTTGTTATAAGAAAGATTTAACGATTAACTTTATTCATATGATTGCCTTCGACAATTTCTCATATTTTGACATTCGAACCTTTAGGATACCAGCAAAGTCATGATAATCAATACTAATATAACGATCGATATCGAACGATGTCAAGTAAAGTGTTTTCGAATATTTGTGACATTGAGTTCTGAAATAACTAAAAATATGTCATTTATTACAGCACATAAAATTAATTAAATTAATTAAGACATTAAAAACTAAACACTTATTATTCCTATTATTAATATGAGAATAAATTTAAAAAATTCTATATTACAACTTCTATTAAAAAAATTATTTGTTATACAAGAAAAGTATTATCAGAAACGTGAAACATAAATTCCAATTTGTATCACATTAATTCTGTCATTTATATGCGCCTTGTTCCTATTATTTAGATGTATCATATGTAGATGTACATATATAGAACCACTGTCGTTACACCCGGTTTCGTTTAACCTCCATACCTCAAGGGCAGTATCGATCGGCTAGTTGCTCCCTTCATATTCATTGCGTCGCACTAAATGATTATGTCACAAGAATTAGTTTTTGCACTTTTTATCTATTTATATAAGATTTTTCTAATTTTAACCAATACACAGGATACTTTACACAGCATACTTGACACACGAAACTCTTACAATCAATAAATAAATTCAGAACAATACAAGAAAACAGAATATTTTATTGTTTGATTGCGATTCTTTCATTAATCAATCAATTTGACCGTTCAAATTAAAATGAGACGCTTAATTTAAGAATAATTTTCACTTTCAATATGCACTTTAACAGACAGAACAGTACAGGGACCAGGAGTAGTGATGTCATTGGTAAGTACATACAACACGAAAAGGGTAGCTATCGGCGCGCGCAACCTTACGGGTAGATGGTGCGTGAAGCTAACAGGGGTGGAAAATTCAAAATACAACTTCGACGTGATTGCTTATTACGGAACAAATAAGAAAAATAACGCACACTTGACAGAAGATATTATCGACAATATTAATTCCATTAGCGGTAAGTAAAATTACATCTGTTATGTTAATAATATAGCAATGCAGCGTGGAAAATGCTCATTTTTTACACATAAATATTTTTATAAAAAATTATCGCGTCAAATATTACGTGCATTCGTTTTTATATATAGTATACCATATAAATTCTCAATATATATGAATTATTACACAGATTTCCTCGAGGATTTTCCGCAAAGATTTAAAAGTTTTTATATGTATCGACACTGATTAATTAATTATGAATCTTTTGATGTGAGATAATTAATCGCACTACGTCATGGTTACATTTTATTTTCTGCTCTGTATAACCTTCTAATGAAATAGTCGAAGAAATTTCAAAATAAAATTATGACAATTTGAAGATATTATTGAACTCTAATATTTTTTATAAATGCGGATATAATAGTTTTAACAAAAGCATATAAAATATAACATCTCTGTAGAATATAATATAATTTTAGCAAGAAAAAAGTCGATATTATATCATTACATTATTATTATAGTCATTCAAACTCAAGTAAATTTTGTAGCGTAAAATACCAATTGTGCTTCAAATAAAAGAAACAAATTCTATCAATAACAAGTTATATCAACATTACTGCATAATTAAATATACGAGGACCCTCGTAGACTTGTGAAGAAGTGCAAATCAGATGAAATATACACATATCTCGCAGCTTTATCACAATCATGTGTTACGGTCGGAGGAATTCATTTATTGTATATGCTTCACATATATAATGCTTTAATTTTTTCGTAAAAACAAAAAGAAATCACTCACTCTTATCTTCCCGCGACTAAGCCACGACTTAACGGTCAGCAAAACGCGTGAGATACACATTCGCGTACTCTCGCGCAACTTCCAACTTCCTCTTAACACGGCAGCCGTCTGACTGCCAACCCGTTAGCTTCTGGCTCGCGGATACACGAGATTGTGCAATTCACTCACTGCCCTTTGGCCACACATCTCTTTCTCTCTCTCGTATATTTTTACTCGATTTATACTCTGACGCGAGTTAGAGCTTGTATAGGAAGTAAGGTGATTTAGGAAAATTGCATGTTTCTTTCCTTACGGTGCAATGTTTAAGATACAACTGACTAAAAGAAACAAATACTTCCAATCGCAAAAAGGTGTGCAATCAACTGTTTCTTAGAATAGAGATTTAAGCAACTACTCTTTCGCGAACATTGAATTTCTTGAAACGATGCCAATGCTATTATTATCCACAATTCTATTTTTAATTGATCTGCCAAGAATACTTGCTTTTCTTATCGCGCATTTTAGTAAAATTAATTGCTGTTTCGAAATGGTTCATTATTATTATTTTAAGTACCTATGTCTTCCACATGAATTCTTAGAGTTCTGTTGAGTTATAACTTTGTGATTTTACAGTTTTTAATTATTCTTTGCTTTCTGTGTCCATAACAAATATATGATTAATTGAATTTATAGAGAAAATATATAGAAAAATACAATAAGATAATATGCTATAATATTAAGACATCTATATATCATATATCTGCAAATTTTTATTTATTTTTTGTTTCTTCTCCTACACTTTAGAGATCAAAAGAAAGAATTTTGATGAAGCATTAGATGACAAACATATCACACAAAACAAAGCATCGATTATTGAAGTAAGTTAAATAAAACTTATTAACTTATTAACTACAATATTTTAGAAAATATGCAATTGTATAATATGTAAATATTAAAATATTTTTTACGTTATCGTTAAATTATTTGTATTTTATATATAGAAAACTCAAAAAAATACTGCTAATAATACTGCCAATTCACTTCTAATAAATTCTACGACACGTGGAAAGCGAAAATTCGTATTTGAAAGATCAGTAGAAATTATGGCTCCAGGAAGAAATAATGATGAAATAATGACACATGATTTTTCTGATGTATCATTCTTCTCACGTGAACCTCCAGCAACAATTGATAAAAATATTATGAATCATTTTGTTCTACGTAACAACTCCTTGAGTTACGGCGAATTTAAAATTTTACCAAATGTGTCAAATACGAAGATATTTAATGGAAAAATGGTATTTCTATTAAAGTTTATAAATTTTTATAAATTTATAATATTAATTTTTTTATTTTTGATAAATTATAAAAAAAATAACAGAAAAAAGCATTTACTACTATAATATGAATATAATACAGACGCAACAGCAAAAAATTCAAGCACGATCATCGGAAGTCGCGTCGTTAAACGAAGATATCGATGAAAAGATGAAATCATCCATCAGTGAGATAGCATCGGTACAAAGCGATCAAAGTCAACAATTTTCAACGCAAATTAATGAGGATCCTTTCGAAAGAAAAAAGATACTGCTAGACGTAAATCCCAATAGCAAATTAATTGCCGCATCAGGGACAACACACAGAATAATCTTTGATGCTACGAATAACTGTGTTCTTCCGGTTAGATACGCAATCCAAGCGAGAAGTTCACCATTTAGGATTTATAATATCCAACCGCTGTAGTAAGTAAATAGCTTATTGTTAATGAAAAAAATTATAAAATAAAGATTAATTTTTTAGAAACTTTTAAACGAAACTGAAATAAGCCAGTACGATAAATACATGGTAATAATAAATCATTATTTACAATGTTAGTTAAATATAGTGATATTAATTTACAACTAATTAAATAGCGATTTTAGTTTTTACTCAAATTCTCCCCATTATTTACTGAATATATTAATTAATTAAAAATTACTGAATATATTAATTAATAAAAAATTACTGAATAAAACTATTGAAGCTGTCGAAATTACAGAAACTATTGAATGAAAGTGCACGTCTATTTATGTAACTCCCACGTCACACTGGCGAGTGACCTCAACATTTCAGCAAGAGCAAACAAACAATCCTAGATAGAATACATGTTGTTTGTTCAGTTTTATTCAAATATTGAAGATAATTTATCATAATAAAAATTAAAGATTATGTGATAAATACATAGTATTTTTATATAATAAACAGTTAAACACTTTTACATTAATTGAAGACATTTTGAATAAACGTTGAAGCTAATATAATTATTTATACAAATACGTTTGTATCCAATACTTTATCCATACTTTAAAAATTTAGAATATAATTGTATTAAAGCATTAAGTTTAGTATGATTTATGAAGTAAATGTAAAACATCGTTTCTATGAATATATCTGACAATGAATTTGTTTTGCTTTTACAAAAATTTTATGTTTTATAAATTTATATCCAACAGCATGTGGTTGTATCCCGGACAAACAGATCAAATAGCTGTAGATATTATTATACCAACGGGAAGCCAAGAAACTGTCAATACGCTTACAGTGCTTATCGCTGGTACGCAAATTTCTGAGAAAACTGTAAATGTTTTAGTTCAAAATGCATTTTCCAAGGTAAATATAAAAAGATGTTGTCGATATACCACGTATTTTTTCTTTACAAATTCTTTTGATGTGATTTTAGAAATTAAGAAAAATAATATAACACATTATAAAATTAAATTAAATTAATTACACTGTAATATTCCGATTTTACATTTTGTATATTTCCAATTTATTATTATTATGCAGATTCTATATTATTCATGATTTCTGTTTGCATTTAGAACATTGATAATGTAAGACCCACAATCGAGTATTCGTTTAATAGCAACTGTGCTGGTAAACTGGACAGAAACCGCTGCGAAAAGACACTTTGGAGCGCTGACATCACTGTTCAAGATTATGATTCAGGTACTTAATGAATTATGTAATAATACAAAGGAATATGTAATAGACAGAGTAATATAAAAATTTTTGTATGACCGAATGACTCACTTCTCTTTTCCTATGCAGGTTTGAAACGTGTTATAGCAATTCCGAATGGATTGTATCCACGCACTAAATATATAAGTGGCACGAAAGATCGAGTCACTTTTTATTATTGGTCCACGTGCTGCACGCCCTCAGCAACAATTACAGCGATAGACATAATGGAAAACTCTTACACTCGTACCATCGATGTGACACAATGGGACAATCTATCGCAAGGAGAAATAGCAGCTATCGTACTCGGCGCACTATTTCTTCTAATTCTCTTAATACTACTCGTTGTTGCAATAGTTTATTGTTTTCGTAAAAGAAACAGCCACGATCTACCTTACACACAAAGATATGGCTCTAGACAGCCGCCTGCTCGAGCTGAAAGAACAAGCTTCTAAGGATATTTATAAGAATCAACTGTAATACAGTTATTATGATCAACCATATCATAGAAATTGTACATGAAACTTCCGAAATATTATTCAGTGTGTACATAAATAAAGTATTTAATTAATTCCTAAATGTAAATTGATGTTATAAGTATTATGGAATGTGCTACATATGACTTGTCTATGTGCATCCATACATAAAATAAAAATCACAAGATATGAGAAAACTCACTTCCTCTCCTTCCAGTCAAATCACTCAATCAATTATTAAAGAACACAGCATATTCTCTACACTAAGGCACTTGATGGATTTTTCATTGTGTATGAATTTTACTGCTCTTGCAAGTTTATTTTTGCAATTTTATTTGAGTAAACTTGTATAGTTTAAAGCCTGTATACCTTCTATGGTTTAATTCTAGATGAATTAATGCGTAGTAGCAGAAAAAGCACGCGCAAAGAAATCATCTTACATGATATTGATTGCGTCATTGTGAATTCTTTGCATATGTTTTACATAACTATGAAACTGTCTGGGTTAGCCTAGGTAGGATGTGAACGTCCCACACTGAAGTCAGGGACTTTCGTCACACAATTTTTTTCCTCTGTAATGCCGACAGAGTAAAAGACGACCGAATAACAGATGTTAGCCTACGAGTGCATTCTAGTCAAATATTGAGAAAATCAAGAGCAGCAAAGTGGGGGATAAACGGTGCAAGAGGTCCCTCCCTTATAAATCTTATTTCGGAAGCGGTTACTAGTCAATACTGCGCGCCGTTAGATCGGATAGTACTCCAAAAATTTGCAAGCTGCCAAGCCCCGCCCACGATTTTTCGTCAAAGGAACTCACCGTCTCGGAGCACGGCTGGTGTCGCGGGGGTGACTGGCACCAGCAATGTGTTCTCCGCGTAATTGTCGAAAGGAAAGCCCGGACCAGCGGCGGACAACAACGGATTTTTCACTTTACGCGACGTGCCGTTCATGTTCACTGCGATGTCGAGGCAAACACAGTTTGCGATGGCACTGACATTAAAGGGTGTTTACCCTATACGAAAAGAACAATCACGTGAACTGTATTTTCAAATTTTTTCTACGAAATACAAACTTGCACGACCTTATCGTCCACGTAAGCACGTGTGCCTATCGCAGCAATTTGACAGTGGGAACGTTGCGCCCGTTCCGTACGCTTATGGAACATAACTCGAGACTCGAGACATCGACGATGTAGGAAGTTTCTTGCGTCCCCAATTTTACATTGGTATTGTGACTTGGATAACGTATCAAAGATGGCGCTAAAATTCGTCGTATTTACAATATTTACATCAATTTTTACAGCTGCAGGCTGTAAGAAAAAAAAGAAGCATTCGTCCAAGTCAATATTATGCTGAAAATAAAGCCATATCGATTCTTAGAATTATTAACAGAAAATAGCATAGAGAGCAGAATTATGACACTTAAACAATTTACGAAAATTGATACTAAACAACATAAATAATTAAGTTAACAGTTTAAAAAAAGTATTTACTATTGCATTAATCAGACTTGATATTAATAATTATAATAATCATTATTTTTATTTAGCTTCAAATAAACTTATATGGATTTACTGTACAATTATCTCTTACCTAACAAGGCTAGATCCATTTTATTGACTATTTCAATAGTCAACTTTGTTTACAAAAATTATGAGAACTCATTAAATGATACATTTCTTCTATTCTTATACCTTTTTATGTTATTAATAGGTAATTAATTAATTATTTATTTATTATCTTTTTGAAGTATTATTTTGTTATTTTATTTGTTTGTTTCTTAAAAAAATGTATCAAAAAATTCACTCAACACTTTGTCTTCTTTCTTGTTAGTGGATTTTCGAGCGTCTAAAATATCTGAATTATACTATTACGATTTAACTCTACTCACAGTTTACTGACTATTGTTGATATCATGGGAATAAGGAGACAACTGAATGGAAAGTCTTATTTCAACAAAAAGGGATGTTCACAAATGAAATCGAAATAACAAATCTGATTGGCTAAGCCATGTGATCACTCCGTCGAATCAAACGCGGGGAATACACTTCAGTCTAGGGTAAAGTCTATACGCAAGAGTAAGTAGAATATACTGAAATAAATTCTTTATAAAATATCCAAATTGTATAATGCTTTTATTATAAATATAAAACAAAAATTTTTCCTGTTGATAATTCTATACAAAGAAATATGACATATTTTAAATTTTTCTCCTCTTCAATTTGTCCAGAATTCAACATCCCTGTTACAACTCTTTAGTTATTTTTTTTTTATTTTTTATAACATAATATTACAAAAATATGAAACATTTTAAATGTTGTAATTATTAAAAACTTATACAAACATTAATAAAAATACAATATAATTTATTTCAAAACTTGTATAATTTTAAACTTCAAGAAATTCTTAAAAATGTTAATTTAAAATAATATTAAATTACTTTTAGAAAATAATATCAACTTAATATTTTCCATCAAAGTAATTAAAATTGTCCAAAACCATATGTCATCATTATAATTATTAAAACAAATTATTTATTAAACGCAGCTAAATAGGTACATGAACTTAGCAACTACTGATAATCACAATCTCTGTTTCGTCGGCAGCAAGTCTTGATGGAAACTTCAGCCGTGTTTACATTTGAAAAATATTATATTATTACTTTACTTATAAAATTATTCGTTTACGATAATATTGATTTCAATCTTCCTACTAAAAAGCATGAAATTATACACACAAACATTTTTATTTTATAACAAATCTAATTAATAATTTTGACACAGTTTAAATAAATTATATTTTTTTAAAACTATTATACATAATATTATATAAAGCTTTAAAATTATTTTTTTTATAAAAGTAATAATGTTTTTGTAATAATAAGCATATTGAAATAAATAATAATTGTGGTTGTATTATTTAAAACATTAACTTATATAATAATAAAATGTTTCTTAATATTTTTAATCACGTTAGAAAAATTATTTGCTTTGAAATATTTTAATCCTAATTTACATTAGACTTAATTACTTTACTTCTTTATTAAATATTAGTATAACGATAATTACGTCACAATCTATGATTTTGTGATATTATTAAATTTGCATATAATCCTTAATATGTATGCAACAATTTCGATAATATTTAAAAGTGATACAGTTACGTCTCATATAGATCCTCATTAATCAAGAATTATTTTAATCAACGTGCTTCGACTTCCGTAGGATCGTATCGCGAAAGATTAAATACCAAAATCCGATTTCCAATTTAATCCTTTTTGGCAAGAGCTTACGCAAAGATGAAGGCATTAAAACTTCAAAGCGCGGCCTAATTAGTAGCATGTGATACAAGTACTAAAGATTTGCATGTCCCTTATATGCCAAGCGAAACTTTAACCCTTTGTGCACTCATGCCCACCCTAACGATTCGAGTTTATCAACAGGTTAATCCTTTACCTTAAGAACGATTCATGGAGGAAATACAGTTTGTACATTTTTTTCTTACAATTTATTACTATCTTTACGCATTTTTTTACTTTTATTTTAAAATAATTATTATTGAAAAATAACGTATATCAAAAATTTTATAAAAGTTAATAAAGCATATCAATTTATATTTCACTAAAATTTGAAATATTTATAAAAAAATAAATGTCTCAAATTTTCTCAGTCCAAAAATTAAAACATTATAGATATTGAAAAATGTTAAGACATTTATATTCTATTATATATTAATTTTATTGGAAAAGAAATTATTATATTTAATTTATATATATATAAACCATATTGATATAAGTTTTATTTAAATGATAATTATATATTTGTAATAAATGCTATACTCTTCTGCTTTTATAGACACAATTTTATAGACGCATAGCTCATACGCCAATCATGAAATTACGACGCGCATGGGGTAAAAAATAATATTCTTTGACCCTATGTCGTTGGTCGCAGATGACATCGCTAAATATCACTCGGTCGTACATCCTTGTCCGCTAATCTATCTAATCTGCCCCAAAATGAAATAGTTGCGATTCTTTCGACGGCACCCTTTAGATGCATGTTAGCGGGAGAAAACACTTGACCCGACGCGAGGGAGGGTGGCCTCTGAAGTGGTTTACAACAGGGGGATTATATTTGGGACAAAGTGACTGTCGGGGTACGATCATCGTCTCTCTAACTGGTTGCGTTAGCAATTTAGCATGTCTCTCGAGCTTTTAAATATCGACTTTTTTTAAACGCTTTATTAGTAATTCTTTTAAAATTACTTATTAGTAATTCTTTTAAAACAGTTTCTTTCAGAAATAATTTTCACTTACTATAATTATTACCAATATGTAAAATTAAGTTACACAAAGCATCATTTATGTCAATCTCTTTAAAACGGAAGCTAGCCAAGGACTATCCATCATCGTTCTATGAGGTGCTCATAAAAGTGCCAGCTATCTTTTAACGAGAATTCTTCATAAAAATTTTATGAAAAAAATTTCCTTTCTTACATGTACATTAATTTATTGCAAATTATTAATGCAAGTTATTGAATATTATCTCAAAATGTACGATTTTAACAACAAATGTTTCATATGCTTCATCTACTTCATAATCACACAGTATACATTTCTTTATTCCCAAAGTATTCGCTCCATAAGTCGCTAAATTCCATCGGATTCTTCGGTGAACATATAAATCTGAAAATATCAGATATTACGTATATACATACATAGACATGTATATGTTTCACGAATATATCACATGCCTGCGCGAACAATACGAGTCGCAACGTTCCTCCCTCTTTTCGCTTTTTTGACTCACCTACGCATCTCCACGCTCCTCCCCCCGCCTCTCACGTTCCGCTGGGTATCCAGGCAGAACGAGGGCGGCGTAGAAAGCAACGGGGATAGGGTGCTGACTTTTATTACTCCGTCTGATGTTATGAATGCGACCTGTACGCAACCCCTCGAGCGTACATTTCCCTTCCGTCGTACGTCCTGCATAGTGGTTATGCTTTTTACGGCATGTATATTCGTGGTCATGATTAGTGACAGCTACGAACGCTCGTATGCATAACCCCCCCCCCCCCTCCCATTTAGCCAAATACCGAACATCCTCACATCTCGATTCTTTGTCACAAGGATATAAGTTACGTATATAATATTATATAGCATTTATCTGGTATCGATTAAAAAAAAAACTTTTTCTTAATATTAATAAGAATTTTTTAACAAGATTTTTATTTTATTACTAAAATTTTTTTATTACGTAATATAGAAATTTTATCATTTGTTTTAATTTAAAACAAATTTTATTTCTTTGATGTTTAGTATTATCTTTTTTATAATTTAATATTTTTTCATAATTTAATATTGTGAAATAAAAGCAAAGATTGAAGCAAGTGCAAAATTAATTTTATTATAACATTTCGAGTGCAACAATATACTTTTTGCGGCATTTAGGACGCAATATTCAAAAAGTATGGACATCGATTTATAACCAATTAGTCATAAATAGACGGATAGATGGTAAAATGTATTATTTTTTGTATCATTTTTTCAGGAATTTCGATGGTACGTTTTAATTTCCATAAAAGCTGAAACAAAATCACAAGCACCACTTTAGTTATATGTATAAAACCATTTATCTCTTTATCCTACTTCAATATTATTTAAATTAATATGTTTATAGATACAAATAATCATGGCACGTTTGTACATAAAATTATTTAACAACTTTATTATCATTGGCATATAATCGTACAAGATATTGTTTAATGAAACTTGTAAATTATCTTAAGTGTCTATGCATAATTGAGCTATCCTACACAATATACTTCATGATGACTTTATTTTAAAATACGGATAAATGGATTGTAATCAAATATTTCAAATATTTGTGATTTTGCGTTCGTATTTGCTATTAGTTAATTATACATGAATGAAATTATTAAGACAAATTACCTACCGTTGTTGAAACTCGTCATATGAATACGAGGATGATTGTCGAAAGTTATGATATCGATAACTGCAGGTGCAGCCGGTGGTGGAACATGGCTAATCATTACGAAAATATTTGCACGCTTCGCCCCTTAATAACACGGGTGTCGCTCATCCTACTGGTCGATGCGAGACACCCGCATCTGGGAAGAATATTGCAATCAGTTGCAACCAGTCGTTTCGCCGCGTAATAAATTATACTCGACCACTCGTTGTCGTGTCCGCAACGCTAATTGGACGCTGAAGCGGGCTACAAATGTTCGAGATTTCTGTAATCCTTGAACCGTTTTGTAAAGCACTTTGTCCTTTAATTGTATTGCGCGATACACGTTGAAATCATTGAAATTAACTAACAATTTAATTGAAAACAACTTTATTTCTATGAACTTCATTTTTATGTTTGCATGCTAATTATTATAATTTTTATTCTTATGAAATAATTATATATGCTAGAACAATTAATTTTTACAGTAACATAAACAATTAAAAAAGTCTACATTAGAAATTCAATACATAAATTTGAATTTTGCATATAAAAATTGCAGATTCCGAAGAATGCGCACTCGTATGTACAATTTATTAATGAGCTAAAGTAAAGATTACGTGTTTTGAACATAGAAATGCTCTTTGATTTTGCCAGGAAACGTGTTACGCAAAGTAGTACTTAAACTAAATATTATTTTACCACTTTATATTATTGATATTATTGATCTTATTTTATGCATTTTATCGCTAATATAAAATTCTCTTTTGCATTGAATTATAATATTTGTCAAAGTAACAATAATATTTATCTCTTGTAACTTCATATAACTTCAATATTTTTATAGTAACTTTAACTGTACAGAGAAGACAACATATTCTATATCTATTAAAGATTATTTTTAAGTTTTTAATTAATATGTTATCATAATTAACCCGATAATGAAATGTATATTTTAATGTAATCGTTGATTTCATCGGGACGAATATTCGAGAAAGGAGTGAGTCGTGATGAAAATATGGAAATTTGGAGAGTCGGTGATGCGCGTGCAAATGGCGGAACGATGCTGGATACACATCCACGTACACATCACACTGACGATTTTAATATCCGCGAATGATAAACAAAGTGGTATCTAACGAAGTGGATAGAGGCGCGCCGTAATAAAATTTGCGTTGCGCTTCGTCGTGACCGAGTCGGGGGAAACACCACGAGCGGTTTCCTCCGATTTCAATTACCCCGAGCGACTGGTGTATATGGATGCCTGTTTGAGTAAAAACGCGAAAGGCTGAGGGAAACGTCGAGAGTCGCTTTGCAATACCAATTTGTCATTCGGCCGGCCAGAATATTGAAATCTGCTTCGCCATATTTCTGAATGTCTTGAAATATACTCCAGCAATATTGCGTTTTTTTTTAGAATCTTTAGTACTAACGCCATTTTAATTGTGTTATATACACATATAAAAATATGTGAAACATGTGTCTTCAATTATTATAAATAAAATTTTTTATATAAATTTAATTACGTGTAATATTGTTAGTAAATATTTCATATAATCATGTTCTAAATAAACCAATTGGCTTCTAATATGTTCGAACCAACTACAAAGATTTGCATACCACTTAAACTCGAGCAACGTAATTCGGTCGTTTCACTAAAGTGCTCATGCGTTTATATGAATTTTGTCCGTCAAAGAAGCTTCACGATTAAAACTGCGGTTAATCCCATCCACCCCTTCTCTCGTAACAGCCGCTCTTTAGCGTTGCTTGGTTTTATTCCACTAAAAAGCCCATCTGCGAGTGAAGGACGCGAGAGAATAACGCAGAGAAGGAGGAAACAATTCAGTGAGAGAGGGAGAGAATGGTAAAAAGAGCAACAAATATATAAGCAGAGGGGCAGTAAGGGGCGGAGGGAGGACAGGCTTGGAAAGGGAAGAGATGCAAAGAAAAAGGAAAGACTGGGTACACAGTGAAGGTTGAGAGAGGACGGCATAAAAGAGATTTCTTTTATTATTTTGTCTACACACTTCACATAGAAAATGAAAATATTAATTTTGTAAAGGAAAGAAGAAAACAGCAAACAGGCGATTAAGTAATTTAAAAAAATTTTCATAGTGATCTTAATTCATTCATTAAGAGTTTCATTTGTATTTCATCTCATTAATACTTCATTTGCTGAACATAAATTGCACATGATTTGAATGAAAATAATCTAAATTCATATTTTGTTTATTTATTGTTTTTGGATACTATAATAATACTAGATGTAATTTTTAGGACACAAGACAAATATATAAGTAGCATTAGATTAAATATTGGTTAATTTTATATATCTATGAAGGATAGGCGTTAGAAACGTACGTACTAATGAAACAAGTGTAAAATACCATGTGGAAGACTGCACACGTATATGAGCGTAGTGATTTAGACAGAAAGATAAATATATGGAAAGTGCGATAAAGCAGATAGCAAGGCAGATAGATAGACGGACAGAGAGGGGGTGGTTAACGAGATAGGGAGATAGAGAGAGAACGAGCGAGTTTACTGGGGGTAGGGTGAGACCCCACAAAGGCAGTGGGGCTCTTTTGATTCGCGAGCTAATTGGAATGCCGCGGATGCCAACGACGATGGAGCAGGGGTTGGGATACCCTCCACCGGAAAGTGGGGGTTGCAGGGCTCTTGCAAGTCCCGTTGTAACCGAGGGATAGGCGGAGCTTACATCTCGCACAGGGTTGTAGCGCGAGATATCGAAGCTCATCTCGCCTTCGTTCTTTCGCCTCGTGACGATTTCGATCTCATCGTGTAGCTTTATCTACGCACAAGCTTCTTTGTACGACGATTCACTGCTTTCTAGGAATTTTGTAAATTATTTATTTACCCGAAAATATAAAGAAGATACGACAATTTCCAACAAAGAATAATAATTATATAATTTGATCCTTTACTTATTTTTTGATACTTTAATTACATATTTTATATGAAAAATATATGTATCTTTTAAACTATATGTCTTTATAACTGTTAAAAATCTTCCTCCAACGATGCAGCGCACGTTTGAGATTCTAAATTTTGAAATTTTATTATTATTAGATTGATAAACAAAAAATATATTAAAACTGTTTTCTCTTTAATTTTACTCAAGAAACTAATCTGGCATTATATGCAATGACTTTTTTAAACTTAAATTAAAACTTCTTAGATAAAAAATAAGAGACACAATTTAATAATTTAAATAAAATTATTCTATTAATTCATATTTCAAACACACATGCACACGAGGATTTATGATTTACCGATAATGACTTTTAAAGTATACATGATGATGTTAATTATAAAGAGGGTCCCGTAATAGTAATAACAGCCGTACCAATTGATGTTGAATAAATGGAATTTGTGATAAAATGGTACATTACGAATTGATTGATATCTTTCTCCGTATCTCCGTAATGGCGAAGTCTACATGATTGTGCATCAAGGGCTTTTTGTGATGCTTTGACACGGGTCCTATGCTAATTTATCACGGTGACAATGAGGCTTCCGCGTAACGAGCGAATATTAGTTACTAACCATCATCCATGTCATATTTTTATATGGGAGAATAGTACGCGTGATGCAATTTATATGTGTATATTACTAGTCATTCACAGATTTTACAACAAGGCAATATTGTACTTTTTGAGACTGCTAATATCTCAAGATTATTAAAGATTAAATTTATGTCTGTCAATAACTTTATCACACGCTTCTGTTTTTAACACATACATCATTTGTAAATTAAAAAAAAACAATAAAATATAATTTTTTATATAGTCCAGCTCCACATGTTTAATATTTTATATACTTTATGAAATATATAACATATTCTAAATCTATTTGTATTTTTCTGCAGATGTGCAATCTATTTATTGAATAAAATATTTAATTGTGTTTTGTAAATCCAGATTCACTACATCTCTTTTGCAATAAGCAACATCTACTTCTGGCACGCAGATGTGTATGTAAAAAATATTAAGTTTATAATTGAATAAAGCATAATCTTTCAGCGCGAATGCGACAAAGCGTTATTAATATTTAAATGAAAGCTCCAGTCAAAGCGTCTCTTTTGCGCTGAGCCAATAGTTACGTAAAAAGCTACTTCCTCTTTTCCGACTTTGACCGCGAGCAGTGCAAAAATTATATTTGAAAACTCATACAAAATATAGTGATTCTTCCCACCCACTATCCGCCCATTATCCGTGAAACTTGAAATATAATTCACGTAAAATGTTTTTTATTATAATTTATGCCTTTGTAGCATAATTTTTTATTACATTACCCAGAATACGTCTGCACGATTCAAAAGACGTTCTAAGTTTAATTTAAATTTTTGGGCAATATTAAATTGCTGTTGAATATTTGTCATGCTGTAGCTTATTTTACTTTTTGTGATAATGTGAAAATAATCTAATATTATAAAATCATGTAAATAATTGTTAAAAATAACATAAATATTAATTTAGGTGTGGATGTTAATTTGGGATTAATTGAACATACCATTTATGTTTAATGTACAGATTGAGGTTTATTCTCCGTTTAACATATGTATACGCGTACGTCTATCGTTATAATTAATTATATAATAGTATCACGTATTTACAGTAGATTTTGTGCACCAGTGCCAAAAGACGTAAAGTAATGTTTACCTTTTTAAAATTACAATGAGAAAAAGAATGTTAAATCGCTTCCATCAGCTCTATTGGCTTTATTCAGTTTGTATGTACATTGTGAAACTAATTTTTCATGCCTTTGCGTGGCATAACCTTTTTTATTACACTACACAGAATACATCTACACGATTCGAAAGACAGTTACAAAAATATATGTTGGACAAACGGTGGAAGGGAACTGACTGTGGGTAGAAGTATTGTTGTAGTATCTGTGATTGTGTTATAAAGTGCAATGTTATTTTTCATTGTTTTATTATATATATATATATCTCTCTCTCAATTCTCGATAATTTCATCAGGTTCTTCTCGTCATTTAAAACATGTAACGCTATGATTCAGTGAAGATTGGTTGAAAGTAACAATGTACATTTTAAGAATTTTTGTGTTTCAAAAAAACATTTTTTACTCAGAAAACATAATAAGTTAAAAGTAAGAAGTTAATTATTATTAATAGTTAACAGTTAGACAATGCCATATTGCAACATGCAGAGTTATTTATTGCAATTATTCCAAAAGTTTTATTTTGAAAAGTGTTATTTTAATAGGCATAAAACAAAATTTATTACTTTTCAAAGATGTCAAAATTTTAGAAGACAGTAATTTTAGGAAGAAATCTCACGTATCTACTATCCGTAAAACATTAATTGTCTTAATTTTTTACATTGGCTTATAAAAGTAATAAAATTAAAAAAAAATATTTAAGGATCATAACGAACAGATATTCTAGTTGCGCCTTGCGCTGTCTGCGCGGAATGTCTGGCTCTATCGCGTAAAGTGTTCGGCGTATCTTTGGTATATCTGGATGACATCCGTGCAAACTCGTGTGATATCTCATCCACTGGATGTTTTTCCTTTAACGTTTCATGCATTGGTATACTAGTGTCTCTGGAACGTCGTGATTTCATCGAATACAAAGCCGATGATGGAATTTCACAAGACCCCATATTTCCTTCAAAATGATGTTTCGGCTTACAATGGCCGCACCAAGATTGGTCGAGTATCTCCACGTCGTCGCCTGAAAGAAATAACACAATTTAAAATTATAAACATTGATATTTGTTCAAAAATATAGTGATTAAATCAAGTAAATATATATAAAAAAATTAATTAAAGGAGATAACAGTTTGGCTATTTATTAATAATAAATATAGTTACTTTACTGTATACTGTGTAATTACTTATTTTTAATGCTATTAGATTATTTTTAATCTTATTAGATATATATTTAATATTAATATTTTTCTAAATATTTTTTTGCTTACCGAAACGCGCCTTGGTCGAGAAATTAGGACTATCCTGGAACCTACAATTGTTCCTTCTCGACGTTGATGGCTTCCTGGTTGAGATATTACCGCAACGGCTACACTTTCTCCTATCAGCAAATTCTGCTTCCGTAAAAGACTTCATCTCTGGCCTCGTCCGTGCTCGGCGACTCGGCTGAGTTAGCGAGGTCATTGTGTCGTATCGATCTGTTGAACTCCTCTGCGGAATCCAATTTTGATGATAGCCCATTGATGATCTTCGAGGAGGATTTTTTAACGCTTGAGCCGTGTACAGATCTTCTTCCGACAGCGTTTCATGGATATCGTGATCGGGTGTGTTGTGATAATATCTAATCATATACACACCTCGCAGAAATTTGATGTATCGATGATAGAATATGTATGATTAAAGGGCATATCGAGTCAAAAGTATAATACAGATAATTGATCATTAAGCTGTTTAATTACAATATATTCTGTTTAATGTGCGTTTATGCCTCTAATTTCTGATTCATGCTACTTTGTCATGCACAATCCATTTAGTTCTTCATTAGCTTTGAATGGACTGTCCACGCCATAGTGCGATTAAACTAGCGTAAAATAAAGAATAATTAGGATTAACCAAATTAGATGAAACAAAGTATAGTAAAATATATTTATATCAATTTCTGATTTTAGCGAATAAATAGCAAGGAATTCTACTTTTTCCGGAGGATCATTAAGCATCGGTTGTTAAACTATAAAAATTTTGTGAAGCATGTGTTTTCATATTTAAGGATTTATATTACAAACCTTGTTGGTAAATGATAAGCTTGATACAGTTTTGGCGCTTGTTGAGAGTAACGAATTATGTGCGGATCTTGTTGTTGGTTAATCATTCGCATTCGTTGTGCTCGCAACGCATCTCTCTGAGCTAAATTGCGCTGTATTGCTTGTGTTTCGGCAGGTGCATCAGATTCCTCATCTATCTCATCGTCTGCTTCATGCTCGTCATATTCCTTATTGATGATCTCGCCGACTCTTTTGTCACCTCGAAGGGACCGATCGTTCTCCGCTACAGAAATATTTTATTTCAAGATATTAAATACAGTCGCAATAGTACTTTTGATCGTTTTAAGCATCTGTAATTATTCTATAAATCAATATAAATTTAATGTATTAAAAAAATATTGTGTCTTCTCAATATTATTAATTAATCTTTTCTATGTTTCTTTCATCTTTTGTCTATTTATAAATGTAGTAATAATTAAAATTGCTTTTAATACTCTTTGAAATATATTTGTTTCAAGTCTATATGAATTTTATTAATTTTTTCAAATATTTTTTTAAACATGTTAGAGTTTTGTATAAATTAAGTAACAATAATTCACATTTTATACCTTCCTCTTCAGCATCTTCCCCTAAATTATCTTCCGTAAAATTTCCTAATTCATCATCAATATATTCTGTATTCTCATCTTCTTGCTGAGTCTTGTATCGATCTTTATTTATGACTGCTACGTTGTTAGTACGATCTTTATTTCTAGCAGATTTTGTAGTAATCTGTTGGTATCGCTGTGGTACTTCCGTATGAAACGCAGAGGAATGTTTTGGATGCGTCGATGGATAAGCGTTATGTTTTAAAGTCTTGTAAGAATTTGCGGAAGAATAATAGCTCACCGTTGATTCTGGCATTGGACTTTGATGGCGTCTAAAAATCACGAAACTGTTTTTGACTCGGTTTGATAAGATATTACTATCATTTATGAGAGGTATTGAATTTATTCTATCTAATTGTACGCCACGAAAAATAAAGTTTTTAATAATACTTTTAACAAAAAGCCTTGCTTTTTGAAATCAAGATTTAACATAAATTAAAATGTTCAGATACCATATGAGTTGCATTTGTTACAAAAATATGTTACAGAAAATCTTTAACTAAATACTTTAAATATATATATAAAAGGGAAAATTTTTATTATAGAGGATTTCTTAAAAAATATTGCTATTTGTAAATTACCTGGTATTCTTATCAATGGTATCTTGATGGCTTCTTTGTGTATATTTCCAATATGCATCAGACGGAACTTTAGCGTTAGTAGTTTGATTAGCAGACCACGTAGATGTATGTGGTGAAATATACTTTGTTTTATGTCTTCCACTTTGCTCCATTCTTGTCAGAAAGCTTGTATAAATATTTAAACACTGTCAAAAATGAATCTTTCCCCATTTATAATTTTTTAATTCTCATACTTTGCATTCCACCTTTTTTAAATCTTGTTCCTCATTGTTTATTATATTTCTATTTACACTGTTTGCTTTTGGCACAATTTTTTATTATTATCTTATTTATTTTGTCAAGCTGTTTAAATTTTGCTCAAGTATTTGCACTTTTTATCAATTTGCTGATCACGAAGATGTTTACAATTTTTTAGAAAAACGATAAGACGTCTTATCATACGTTATCGTATAAGATGTCGGTTTATTTTTGCAACTTTAAGTTAAGATATGAAAAGAAAATATTTTGAGAAATGAGAAACTCACTTTGACACAATCAATAATATTAATCTTTTTGCAATACACAGTTCTCTTCGTCACGATTTGCAATCCATATACAATTTCTTCAAAGAACGCTCGAATTTCGTGGTACGATATTAAGAGCTGGCAAGACGATTAGCACAGAGATGAGAGTGAAGAAAGAAAGATGCGACGTGAATATTTCACGAAAAGTTATATAAAATTATACTTCTTCAGGAGATTGACAATTGCACGTTCGAAATCTCATCTGCAACTACATCCGCATAGAATAACTTCTCGTCTTCCTAAGACAACGAAATGAAAGGGCTAGAGCGGCGTAGTTAAAGAAGAAAGAACAAGGTGACAGTCACGATCTAGGAACGCGTAGATCGTGATTTTCTGTTTCACCATTTGTCGGCCTCGTTGCTGTCTTCGTGTTCCAACGAAGAGTTCAACGTGCGCTGGAACTCATGCACTCTCTGGCTCTGTTGCTCGTGATGCAACTTTCGCCACTTGATACGACGATTCTGGAACCAGACCTTGACTTGGGCCTCGGTCAGTCGAAGTGCGTGAGCCAGGTACAATCTTTCGGGGCCCACCATGTATTGCTGACGTGCAAATTCACCCTCCAGACGTTCCAGTTGTTCCGCCGTGAAGATTGTTCGCACTCTCTTTACTTTGCCGCCACCGCCTGAACTGGAACTCGAACTGCTGTTCTTTGTCGAACTCTCCTGACCTGAGAAAATGGCAAGTAAAGGCGTAGAATGACAATAAAGAATATTTAATTACATCCGCTGCGACAAAAGTTGGATGATAATAAAGCTAGTAAAAAGCTATATAAAAATGTAATATGTGTAACAAAATATTTTATGATAAGGTTAAATTGCACATATGCATTTAAGCGTAATCCCTTGAAAAATCCCCGAAGATATATTATTGTAGATATTCTAAGAGATTTTACAATAAAAAATATATGTACCTATATTTAAAATTAAGAAATTTTGAATACCATTCTTTTTGACATCGAAAATTTACATATTTGACACTTTCATTCTGGTAGATACTAAAATTTATCTGAAGTTAGTTACAGGCTTTTTCGATTATCACACAGTATACGATATGCAATAGCATTTCGATTGTTTTTTTATCTAATTGGGGAATAAAATACACATTAAAATACAGTAATCTGTTAAACGCGTTTCTTGTATTCAAAGCAAAATATTATTTTTTCTTAACAGTCTTAACTTTTTAAAGTTTCAATTTTTTAAAATAATTTTACTTTGACTTTAAATTATAATTTCCATTTTTTAATTTGATTATAATTTTAATTAATAAATAATTTTGATTATTATGTAATGGTAACATTTACTGATAGCATTTATTTCGTTTACAAAATAGGTAAATTTAAATTTAAAATATTTTTATATTTAAAACGTTCTTTTTTTCCTTGTCTACTTAGAACATTTTCATCGTCATTACTAATTAATAAAACAAATAAAAAATATATATCACCGCATATTAACGACATCAAGTATGTATCAAAAAGATAATAAATAATTTCAGAAATACAGACTGCTCCAACATTACATAAAAAGAATAATTAATCAGTTAATTATAATTTAAATAATTCTTCTACGTATAAATCTCGTCTTTTTGATTACCAGGCTATATGGACAAAAAAAATATAATCAATGGCCACGTTCAGCAGACAGTCCTGATTAGTGAGCGCTCAGTGATTCTTTGTTACGATTGATTTATTCAGATCCAGCGAATCACTATAAGCGCTCACTGATCTGCTTTGTCTGCTGAATGTGGCCAATAACAACCAAAATCAAAAACTAAGTTGACATAGATATAACTAATAATAAAAATATTATAAGTACCCTGATGTTTTCTGTATTGTTGCTGCTGATTCCGTTTCTCTCGCTGATTATTTCTTAGGCCCAAGATTGCGTCGATGGTGAATGACTTCGCTTGTTGCTGCTGCTGTTGTTGAGAATGCTGCATGTGCGTGATCGAGTGCGAATGCGGCACTTGCGTCGACAAATTTTGCGCGGATAGCTCTGTACCAAGTAGATGCGAGCGTCTCATGCGTTCCAAAGCTATTGCTTCGAGATCGGAATTCCTCGGTTGTACCTGCAAGTTCCTGAATTCCTTGTGATCCAACATGCTTGAATTTTCCAGCAAACCAGCACCGCCACGCAATCTTTCGAGGGCCAGACTGCTGATGTGGGTATCCCTCATTCTATCCAGGGAAAAATTGAACTCTTTCATGCGATCGAGATTGTAGTTCTTGAGCAGGCCGAAGTCCTTCATTTCCTTTTCCACCACGAAGTTGAGATCCTTGCTGTACCTGTCTAAGGAGGATAACGACGCATGGGGACTCCTCTGCTTGGTCTCGCGTAGATTAAACAGCACGTTCTTGGCGCTGGAATTTTTCGATCTGCAAAGCGTCGCGGCGTCAACCGATTCCTCATTCTCGTTCGATCTATCCAGCGGATAATTAATCTCCGTCAAAGTATTGGCGGAGTAACCGAAATCCTTGGCCTTACTCAACGTCATAGTCAGATTTCTGGTCTGGTTTTCGCACGGAAACTCGTTGAATCGAAGGGACGTCCTATCGCCGCTTTCGAGACTAAGATGAAATTCCTTTGATTCCGTCGATACATCTTCTTTATTTTTATCAATGGACAGATTTAGCTCTTTGATGCGCTCGTAACTTTGAAATGCTCTTAATTGAGATTCCGAGTGGCTGCTATCACTTATGCAATCCGATAAGTCTTCCGCCGTTAGTCTACCCGACGGATCGCTCGTCTCCATTTTGAGGGGTTCTCGAAACTATTATTTTTTTTCAATATTTTCTTGATACTATGGATAATATTTTCCGATTATATAGTCATTAGGAAACGGTAGCATTAACCGTTTATTAATATTTTTCGTTTACTTAGCACAGATATTAATTTAGCTTCAAAGAAAACAATCAAATGCGATAAAGAGCCGAAGAAATTCGAGCTCTTTTAGAATGTTTTATGATTTGCATAAACACTTATCACAAATTCTTGCCGCAAAAACGGTGATCACCATACATGTATCCAATCAGTTTTTCTTCTTCACCATAGTCATGAATTTTATTCGTCACGTGCGGTCAGAGTTATTATCAGAAACTATTACTTTATCATGTGTTTTTCGTTAAACGGATTATGTCATTCTTTCACATTAATTAACTTATTCTTTTCACAATTCTTCGAAACGCACAATGTCAAAATCGAAAGTCATTAGATCACCATCACAGCAACACGTTTTTATTATCGATTGGTTATTATTCCAATATAAACAACAAATTCGCGCACTGTCACAATTTTTGCAGATTTATTGAATGTAAGTCGCTCGGATTGCCAAATGGTTGATGGATAAATACAAACGAAATGAAAATAAAGACGAAGAAGAGGCAAAAGCGCGAGAAGAAAACGTAGCAGTATCGAAAGACCGAACTACGAAGGCGCCTGCGACGAAGTATGATCGGACCGCGTTGGCGCTCCGCAGCATCCAAGGATAATGATGTCAAGCACGAGGATCACCGCTATCGGATAGGGTTGGCCAACGGGACCAAGGATATCCAGCTAATGATCCCGTACGTGACGAGGAGGGTATTCACCCGCCGCCTCGTAACCCTCCTTGCCCGCCCGCCACCCCCCAACAATCAGTCGACCGTTATGTTTCACCTCCGCAACCCCCAAATGGACCGCAGGATACCCCCTCGTACGGTCAATATTTTTTCATTCGACGAGAGAAGGCCGGGGCGCGCGTCGTCGCCGGTTCCTGGTTGGCCGGATCCTGCCATCACCCCGTGTCTGGGACACGCCTACCGCGAGCACCGTGGGGGTTATTTGCGGGGAGTCTGTTACTTTTTTCTACCCTCTATCTCGAGCTATCCAGCCAGCATCCACCTCCGTCGACTCGCAACCCGTTCTTCCCTCGTCGTTCTGCGAAAGCTCTCTCCCCCTCCTCCCCCCGTCCCTCCTAGCTGGCACCCATTAATAAGCTTTCGCCTAGACCGACTAGCTCACTTGAAGATGCTGATACCGACACCACCAGGCTCCTCAGAAAGCGTATCTGTGGAGACGAGGATAAGCGCGTGCGTGAACGTAGTTAGCGCCTTGCTTCGGCCGCTCGTCAGCAATGTCATCCGCGTCCAAGACCTTCCGGTAATTAGGTCCTAATGATGATGAGGTAGTTTAATTTTGTTCGGATGATCTTTCTTATCTCGTCTTGGATTGAGATAGTCTTCAACATCGAAGAGTTCACTCGCTATGGATTATTGGGAGGAATTTCGCGCAATTTATCTTACGAAATTTCGCGCTGACTCGGGGAATTCTTGAGCTAATTACAAGAAGATGGTAATATTATAATGGACATAAATTAGTTGTAGAAAACTATTATGAAAAAAAGATATTTAGAATATTATTGACATGATTTTCGACATGATTTGTCGAAAGGATTTTTGCACGTAAGATATACTTGTCATATGTAATGAAAATAATCTGAAGTTTTAGCAATTTATTTTCATGTATTACAAATAAATTTGTAATTAAATCAAATGGCCTTAATAAGATTACTTTATTATAAAAATGTATTATTTTCTTTTTTACAACAATTAAATTCTGAAATATTAATCCGAAATAAAAAATATAATTTTCAAATAAGGGAGACATAAAGAGAGAAAATATCATTAAATGTAATGTATACTTATATGCAGCTTTTGTATAACTAAATTAAGATTAAAACGACGACCAACGTTATTAATATATTCTAAAGATGTCGAGGTAAATAAGTCCTCCTTAATTGCTTCATGCCAATCTGAAACTTCATCCACAATCCCCTCATTAGACGTTGACGGGTACGCGGGAATTTCAGTACCTTGGAAAACCTCTAAGGAGGTTACACTCGAGGGCAAGAGCTTAATTATGTCGAGGTTTTACATCATGTCAACTTCATGCACGCACAGTCTTATCTTTTTGTTGACAACACGTCATCTTAATACTATGCTGCTTTATTTAAAAATCAAAGAAAAAGATTGATTTAATCGAATTTAAAAAATTTTATATTAATTACATTTTTTCTTATAATACGCTGATGTGACTAATATACGCGTAGCACAAGCTAAAATTTTTTGATAGTTTATAATTATGTAATATTGTTATATTTTTAAGATATGCATTTTTGTATATGAAAACTATTTTCACGTATATAAAAAACTTTTTATAGATTTACTTGGAACTAATAAATGCATATGTTTATATACATAATATATATATTATTAATAAAATCACATGTTTCATCTTTTATGAAGTAGGTACATGCACACATGAATAACACCTCTAATAAAAGTTTTACGCTTGAAAAGCTATTATGAAGTTAAGATTGAGCTATAAATTCCAAATTTACATACAACTTTTAAGCTATTCTCTAGCTATTTTACACCAGTTTGTAATTGCACCATA